ATCATAATTTTGAATATTATTTAATTTATTAAAAGGAATCCACTCAATTACGTCCTCATATTTTTTTGCTTTGAGCTAAAATTCTTTAATGCAATCATTAATAGTCTTATTTCCACTTGTCTATCCTTGTGTTGCTTTGATTTTGGAAGTTTATCAAATTTAATAATTTTTTAAACTTTTAATTTTAAAACTTTATTTGCTAAAACTATAGCTCAAATTCATTCCAATCTTATGCTATTTTCTTGATAATAAATAAAATCTTCTGTATATAAATTTTAAAAAATTATAGTTTTGTTAATAATAAAAGAAAATTTAAATTAAAAAAATAAATAAAATAAAATTCAATTAAATTTTACTAAATATTAATAATAATTTACTATTATTAATAGTTATTGATTTTTGACTATATAATAGATTTAGACTATAAGTTACTATTTCAGTATTCTGATTTATAAATAACTTCTTGACCAGGTCCAAAATATATATCGTATTAAAGAAAGATTATTTAAAACATTCCAAATTATGTCTTTATTTACAAATAATAGCATTTTTTAATTTTGGTAAACTTTGAAAAAGTTTTTATAATCAAAATACTAATAGATCTTGAGTATATTGGCATAAAAGGAAGTTTTTGTCTCTAACACTTAAAGGATCAAATATTCTTAATCATATAATTAAGATTAAATTGGGAATGATAAAGTATTTCAACTAGTTCATCATATGTATTAGTAGCTAAAGTTTTTTTAAATAATTAATATTTTAATTTAAGTTTTAAAAGTTTATATATAAATTTAAATTAAATATTACCAATACTATTTTTTTGTATCCAACTGAACATTAATGCAATAGTTGTATTTTCAAAATATAGTGACAATTTATCTAAATCTAAAGCTTTGTTAGCAATATCTTCAAAAAATTTATTTTCAACTGATATTGATAAATTATCACTACTTAATTCATCACAAGAACTAATACTATTGCTAAAAGTTTCAGAAGTAAATTTTTCACAAGAATTTATATCTTTATCTAATTCTTCTATAGTATATTCATTATTGTAACTAATATTATCTTCTTCAAAAAAATATTTATTAGATTCTACATAATCTTCTATTGGTTTATCTGAAGAATATACAGTAGAAGAGTTTAATTAAATCATAGAACTTTCTGAAGAATCTTGTATTAAAAATTTAGAAATATTATAAGAAAATCTTTTCTTAATAAAATAATTTTATTATTTTTATCATATTTTGTTCCAAATTTATTATGTAACATATTAATAAAACAATTATTACAAAGAAAACAATATTTAATAAAAAAAAGAGATATTTAATAAACTAGAAAAGAGAAAAAAGATATTTAATAAACTCAAAAAAGAAATAAGTAGCTATCTTTATAACTTATAAAAAAAAACAATTGGCAAACTTTTATTAATAGTTAATATTTAAATTTAATATAAATAATACTATACAGAAACCTGAATATCTTAATGTGTAGTAATTATATACTAATGATATAGTAATTATAGTCAAATCTTCCTATAGTTACTCTCTATATAAGCATATTATATAAAAATTCTCTTTATAAGCACATTTATTTTAAAACTAACTATTATAAACATATAGAAAAAAAACCTCGTTATAAGCACATCTTAGTAAAATTCTCTTTACAATTACACAAATCTTTATCTTGAGAGGTGTGATTATAAGAAGGTTTGACTATATATAGTTACTATTAAATTTAATAGTAACTATATAGTTACTATGTAGTTACTGTGTATTAAGATATTTAAGTTTCTGTAAAGTATTATCATTATTTTAATAAGAAATAAGCTTTGTTATATATAACTATATATTTGGTATATACATACATATAATAATAATATATATGTAATTGATAAATTTTGTTATACATAACTATATAATACCAATACGTAATTGATAAAACTTGAAATTTATTATAATTGATATATAAACAAGAAGTTTAAAATTTAATAGTTAGCAAAAATTTTATAAATCATACTAATATATAATACAAATTAAAATATATAAACATAGAAAACAGACACAAATCACTAACTCTTCTCAACGATCACTTGTACCAAATTTTCTCTAAAAATAATCACTCTATTCTCTAAATTC